TAGTGTAGTGCATGTCGTATTACTCCATCACTATTGAGAAATGATGAAGTATTCGATTTTTTTAAGGTTGTCATTCTTGCATTTATCTCAAGGATCCGACTCTAATTGAAAGGTCCCGCTATGTATACCCTTCGGTGTGAAACACCCTCCAAAGGCGCGCTTCTTTGTCAGTCAAAATTGGATTCCTTAGCAACAAAATTAAGGAATGACACCTATAACGACCATGCATTAGAAACCCTAGTCTTAACCACTTCAAACTAGATAACAACAAATATAAGATTAGGAATCACATAGATGAAGACTAACTAACTCATTTCTCCTTGTTTCAAGATCATCCTCGGTGGACAAAGCCGAGTATTGTCACAAGGCATAAAAAGTAACAAGGACTAAGATGTGTTCCTTGGATTACTGAAAAATCCTGTTCCCCTAGTTTGAAAACATTCAAACTTATGTGAAGACCTCAATATTTTTCATAATATCTCTGAAGTTCTCTGAGCTTCTGGGACCTTCTTAACCCTCTGCTTCCCATGGTAGCACAGGTGATCCACAAATTTTCGATCCGGTTCATCTTTGTCAATCTACCATTAAATAGTCAATACTTGAATTTTTGAAGTCCTACATTTTGCTAATGTTCATGAAAGTTTCTAAAGTTTACGGATCTTCCGTTCCCTTCTATGAAGTTCTCAAAATGTTTCTGAAGATCTCTGCACTTATGAAATTTTTTCGAAGTTTCTCTGAAAACTTTATTAAGCTCACGCAATTTTCTTGGAATCAATTGAAGTTCTCAAGGTTTTGCTGAAATTCATGGAACTGACCTTAAATTATCGACACTAATTCATAACTTCTTCAATAGTCTAGACTTTTCTGATCTTATTAGAACTGTCCAAAAGATTTCTGAATTTTCTCAAAGTTATCTCTACTGCACAGAATTTCTCAGTATTTTTGTATAAGAACTATGTTTTCCTGAACTTATCTGGACATCCCTGAAAAACTATCCTTACCTGAAGTTATCTAAATTTGTTTAATGTTCCGGCAAATTTTCTGATATATGTTCATAATTTCCTGAAGCTTCTGATGTTTTCGGATCAATCACAGTATTCTCAGAATATCCCATGAGACTCGTGTAAGTCGCTACAAATTTCCTTAAGTTAATGTGATTGTTCTGAAGTTATTTGATCATCCTCGACGTACTCGGAACTTCGCTGAATATCGTGAAACTATCTAATAAATACCTAAATTTCTTGAAAATATCGGTCTTGCTAAAAGTTCTCGCATTTTTTATAATTAATGGACCTTCGTTTATGTTCTCTAATCAAATTAGTTAAATTTTCGCAATTTTTTGAAGTTCTTGAAATTTCCAATATATAACACACTTAAAAGTGTCTCACATTTTCCGGAGGTTCATATGATTTTTATTGCGTTCCAGTAATTTTCTCGGAGTTTTGCTGAAGTTTCCGGAAATCCCCTGAGTTTCTCGAAACATCTTTAAGGTTTCTGCAATTTCCTTTAAGTTATTTGAACTGTCCTTTGATTATCTGATCGGTCTTGATGTCCTCGGAACAAATTAAGAGTATAATTCTATGCTCTATGCTATGCTCTGAAATGAATGAAATTCTCGATAAGGGCCTGTTCATAAACTACGTAGACAGTTTTTTTGGGATTCTTGAACCCCCCCCTCCCCCTGCGTAGACAATTGTCCATACAAAAAAAATAAAATTTGTATGGACCGTGGATAATTGTCAACCCCCCCCCCCCCCTAAACCGTCTACGTAGTTTATGGACAGCCCCTAACATATTTAAACTTCCCTGAAATTCTTTGGACTTCTGTGATATTTCTGGAATTTTTCAGAAATTCTCCGAGGGTCTCTGTAATTCCCTGAAATTCTCGAAACATCTTAAGGGTTTTCAATATTTTGCTCTACATGAACTATAATGAATTTGTCTGAATTCACGCTTATAAATCTTTAAATCACTCTAAGAGTCTGGACTAAAGTTACGAAGAATGCCTTTAAGATCTCTGAAATTCCCCAAAGATCTCTAGATCTTGCTTCTGATGTACTTTCTTACCAATCAGGCTAAGTTGTCCTCTACTGTCCTCTACTTTCCGAAGAAGTCGCCTTTGCTCTACTCGATTCATGGCCACACGTCGCCAGCCTCGTAGTCAACGAAGGGTCCGCAGGTCTCCTTCTACTTGGTCGATCCACTTTGCCCGCTGCGCGCTTCTTCTTCTTCTTCTTCTTGTTCCTGTTGGGACACTTTCGAGAGCCATTCACTGGATCGTCGTCCGGTCTTCTTACGGCGTGCCCAGCCTACCGTAGTCGCCTAATTTTTGCAATGTGGACGATGGATAGTTCTCTCAGCAGCTGGTGCAATTCGTGGTTCATCCACGTCCTCTCCGTTCCGTCATCCATCTGCACCGTAGATGGTACCCAACACCTTGCGTTCGAAAACACCATCATGGTCCTCCACGAGCATAGTCCAGGTATCGTGGCCGTAGAGGATCACCGATCTAATTAGCGTCTTGTAGATAGTCAACTTCGTGCGGCGGCGAATTTTATTCGACCGGAGCGTCCTTTGGAGTCCAAAGTAGGCACGATTCCCTGCCATAATGCGTCTCTTTGAATCATTTTCGGCGGTCACCAGTGATCCCAAACACACGATATCGATATCGTCACCGTCAATCTGAACTCGGGGTGTGAGGCTGACATTGTCTTCCCTAGAACCTCTTCCTCTCATGTATTTCGTTTTCGATGCGTTGATGGCAAGTCCAATCCGCCTAGCTTCAGCCTTCAGTCTGATGTACGTTTCCGCCATCGTCTCAAAGATGTCATCGACGAAGATCGATCACTCTTGTCTATCCCAGCTCTTCTGATCACACCTTCTAACGCGATGTTAAATAGCAGACACAAAAGTCCATCACATTGCCGTAACCCCACTCGAGATTCAAAGGGACTCGAGAGTGTCCCCGATACTCGAACAACGCACATAACTCGATTCATCGTCGCCTTGACCAATCGCGTCAGTTTATGCGGAAATCCGTATTCGTGCATAATCTGCCATAGCTGATCTCGATCGATTGTGTCGTATGCGGATTTGAAATCGATGAACAAATGATGTATTCGCGGCTTTTCTACAGAACCTGCCGAATCGCAAAAATGTGGTGCGTGGTAGCGCGGGCACCCATGGTATTACCCCACAAACTCTCTTGCGAATGGTGACAGGCGGCGGGATAGAATTTGGGAGATAACCTTGTAGGCAGCGCTCAGCAGTGTGATCGCGTGGTAGTTTCAGCAATCGACCCCTTCCATCAACTCGTCCGGTAGTAACTCCTCCTCCCAAATTTTGGCAATTACCTAGCGCAGTGCTCTAGCCAGTGCTTCACTACCGTATTTTAATAGCCCACTTGGTACTTGATCTACACCAATTGCTTTGTTGTTCTTCAGCCGACCGACCTCCTCCTCAACTTCTTGAAAATCAGGGGCCGGTAGCCTGCCGTCTTGTGTGCGTGCTCCAAGGTCCAGCAAAACCAAAGGTCAACGTTTTGTGGCCTTTTGAGTCCAACTTTATGCCATGACGATTTACAGTTACATAAAGTTTTAGCCCGTGAATTTTCTTTAGATAATAAGAAAAAATGTGATTGTTTTGAATTTTTGGGCCCATAAATATATTCAGCAATCGACTAAATTGTCAATAGCGACCAAAAATATCCATTAATACCGTTCCAATGACGCGTTCATCTAGATACAATTGATAAAAAGCAGATGTTTAGCGATGGGCCCAATCTGAGGTTTATAGACCAATATTAGAGCCATTTCCCCTATGTGTCGAACACATAGTTCTCATGTGTACACATAAAATTCATGTGTAACCACACATACTATTCATTTAATTTGTAAATTTCATGTGTACTTCTGAATGGAGTCTATTTATGTGTGTGCACATTAAAATCATGTGGAATTTTACTTGGAATCTCGCCAGTAAAAATATATCGAATTTTATGAGTGTACAAACTGCAAAAAGAATGATCAATCTTGAAATAAATTCACGCTAAAAAAAAGTTTAAAATAGTGACTGACTACAAGAAAAGTGACTTGGCCTTATAAAATTAGGCTTCTTAGTGACTGTGTTGAAAAAAGAAACTAAATAGAAATTCGCTACCAGCCCTGTCATTATTCAGAAAAAAAAAATCAATATACTTAGTAAAATATTCCAGTTCATTGTCAAATCTACCCACAGTATTAGGTGCTAAGCGGAATTAGAGCAGATCACGGTAATATCCATAATATCAGAGTGCAACATCATCAGCCAAATCGAAGGTGATAAGATTCTATATTGCTATATGCCATAGCCTTCGAAGGTAAATGGTTATTCATGAACAGCTCATGATCAAAAGTAGGAATTTTCTCTTCTAAGAAACAGGAAGTCTATCTAATAAAGCAAAAAAAAAACTCTTCTTTTGGCCATGTCATATTTTTTAACATATCTTTATTATGAGGAGTCATAGAGGAAATGGTTCCAATGTTTTCCTATGAATCTAAAAATTGAGCCCATCGATAAAACACTTCAGTTCGTATTTTTTTTTTTTTCATCTAGGCAATACAAATGGATATTTTTGGTTACTGGTTAAAAATTTGCAAAAAATGCGTTCCTTCGAAATTTACGTATGGACCCAATATTATGGACACTTAGGCCGACATTAAAGACATACACCCGATTTGAAAATGTTGTTCCTTTCAATAAAATACGAAAGAACAGCTCGTGATCAAAAGAAGCAAAAATCATCACTTATGGGGTATTTTACCTTCTTCAAATATTCAGTAAAGAAGGAAATATTCCTTTCGTGGTGGACATATTACCCCACCGGGGTTTATTATTAAACCGTTCTTTTAATTCGCAAAATAAAAAATCGGATTAGTGGCATTTGCAGCATGGGTATTAGGGGTACTGGTATAGGATTTGTTATACTTATGTAAATAACAATAGAGCAAAGTTTTACTTACGTTCAAGAAACTCGTCAGCACAATCGACGGCGAGCAATTCAGTATCGGCACGGGGCATCCGCTAACGCCCCACAGTCCAACATTGGTGTGGAAGATAGCACCCCGCAGGAGGGCTTCATCTCTGTAGAAAGTTTTATCGTTCAAGATGTTACACATGGTGAGCAATGTTGCATGCCCAAGGGCCGTTCCAAACAAATTCTTCATTATCTTCCATGACGTCTGACAAAAGGCTTCCCTGTTCACCGTCCGGCAAAGGATGACAATGAACAAGGTGAGCGTCTCATTCGGAATGATTGCATAACAAATGAAGCAATCCAGAACCGACAGACAGAGCAAAATCGTTTGAGTTTCCTCCACTTTACACGTGATATCGAAAATGTAGTTAACGATTCCAACCAGGAAATTTTTCTCCAAACTGGCTGCATTGTACTTTACGAGGTTTACTATCAAATCCAAAAGCTGAGTAATAAAGCCGGCTTGGTCGATCTGAGGAATCCATTGCACCAAAAAGGAACCGATTTCTTTTTCAAAGTATTGGATGTTCTTGCCATTCTCTGTGAGGCTTTTCAACATCTCCAGTCGATATTCAATGTCTTCTGGTTCCTCATGTGAAACAATCACCCGGAAGAATTGAGCCCTCATCATTTTAAGATTGTCATACTGTCCTTGGATCAGCTTGCAGTAGAAGTTGAGGGCGACATGTCTTTGTTCAGTTGATTTGTTTCCAACAATTAAGTCCTTGGTCAACTGCCACAGAAGCTGTACAGCATCCATCTCCAAGCGATATTTGAGGACATTGTCGCTGAAATCTTTAAGAGCTTTGCAACGTTGTCCCACAGGTGTCTCCGGTTGCAACTCACGTTCTAATTCTGCTGATATTGGGAAATAGTTCCTATCTCGATGAGATGCTAAAAAGAAAACAACGAATTAACGACATAAACAAACTAATCCAAATCAACTTGCTTAAATACCTCCACTTGTTTTGTTGATGCGAAAGTACTGCTTCAGCTTGTTGAGTACGTTATCCTTATCCTTGGTGCTCATCCTCGAACGCTGCGTTTTACAATGCTCAGCGGCAAGAGGAAGAGACTGCCAGAACAAGTGGAGGAAAATAAAATATGGAAGCAGCCGAAAAATCGGGAGGAGAGAGCTTCAACAAATTGTGATCGCAAATGTTACCACATTTAGACGCATAAATTCGTAAAAAACTATCAACAAGAATCACTAAACTCTTCCGAAATGCGGAACATTGCATTTCATTGGAAAAAAATCTGTATTTTCACACTTTTTCACGAATTTGTTTTTGAATTTTGAGTTTGCGACCGAAATCTACTCATGGACAATCTATTTTTCAGTGCACCAGCTGAGAAAAATCAATTTGACAACTAAACGATAACATATGCACAGACAAAAACAGACGTAAATAAAATCAAGCTATAGATCAAGAAAACAGACAAAAAACTACCATAAAACAAAAACAAAATACAGCCGAGAAACAAATGATAGAACTATTCCACAAATGGTTTGGATGATAATTCCAACACGTCATTTAGCAGAATAACCATATAAATTTTACTATGAGGACTGCCCTCGGGACTACATCAAAAATGCAATAATGGCGGTAAGCTCCAACTCGGATTAACTTTTAATACCGTCCCTGTTTGTATGATCTGAAAAATGTTTGCTCAGAATTATGTTGATTAACTCTGATGTCGACATCAAACCAGCCGGACATTCTTGATCGGGATTTAATCCGAGGATAATACCGGTTGGAGCTTACCACCATAAGTGTGATAAAAGTGCACCTAACTCGCTTACTTCCCGCATAAGCAATAACCATAAGAAGCGCATAACCACCAATTCGGGATATCATACCAACTTTATGTGGTATGGTCATACTATCTATGATATCGTTAGTGTATGGTACCAGTTTATTAGGGTTACCACCATAGAGGTAACTCTAAGACCAGATGGTCCCGAAAAAATGTGCTCAACTCTTTGGCTCAGCTGTGGTACTCTCTTCGGTCCCATGGTAATCGATGCACCCCTCGAAACATAGGAAAATCCACGAACCCCTCATTTTATCTGTCAAACTTTCATAGCGAATCAAAACAAACATAGTGTAGTACAAGAATTTCAACTAGAATGGAGTACAATAATCGATTTGCTTGGGACCAATAGCACTGACAAACTGACATGAATGATCATAGCAAAACAAATAAAATTTCTGACCAAAGCACACTACTGACATCTGGCTCCGTGTTCGCGGGAAATATTTAGCTAAGCCATGAACTCGCGTGCAAAAGTTATGAATTGGTTCGTGTCTGATCTATTCTGGACAAATTATTTTATCTGGATCAAAAAATTCGATGGTTTTGACAGTTCGGATCACTGCACATTTAAATCGACCGTTTACGATGAGCCAATTTAAAATCGTTAATTTCCACCCGTTGTTACCACCGAGCTTACCACATGGCCACACTTCGCCAGGCTCGTAGTCTGCGAAGGGTCCGCAGGTCGCCTTCTTCTTGATAGATCAACCTTGCCCGCTGCGCGTCTCTTCTTCTCGTTCCTGTTGGGTCGCTTTCGAGAACCATTTTCACTGGGCCGTCGTGCGGCATTCTTACGATATGCCCAGCCCACCGTAGTCGCCCAATTTTTGCAGCTGGTGCAATTAGTGGTTCATTCGCCTCCTCCACGTTCCATCATCCATCTGCACTCCACCGTAGATGGTACGCAGCACCTTCCGTTCGAAAACACCAAGGGTTGGTCGTGAAATCTGGCATTTACGAGCGCTGATGGCCGCCACAATCTAGCTGAGTTTCTGGTAGGGAACATTCGATTTGATGTTTGGGTTAGGTCGTTTGACGTATAAACGATCAAATTTGACCGTTTAAAGGTCAAAAGACACAACCCGAGCAAAGTGTAAAAACAAACGCATAACATCACAATAACTCATTTTCTTAACTAGAATTCATGTTGTTTTTCTCTGTTATCAACTAATCGTTTTGAGCGATAACATGTTTTGTTATCTGTTGTTATCATGAAGAAAAGTCACCCTTGACATTTTATTTATTTTGTATATTTTCATTATAAAGGTAATTGCCACATTCTTAATTTATTTGCGTATTTGGTTTGCAAGCTGAAATATAATTTACATTGGTATTTCCATTTAAAACTGACACACTAACACAAGGTCGAATGTGACGTTGAACTTTTTTTAGATGATACTCAGAGCTAGTTTTATAAGAGTACATGTTGTTATAAATTTCAGTTGTGATCAATTTCCTACCAATTATACAAATTCTATCGTTTCTATCAACTAACGCATGTTCAACATGGTAGAAACTAGCTCAAAGGAATCGTTGTAGCCTAACGTTTTACTTCTTTCTCTGGTACAATATTGAACACCATCGTAGGTGAATTCTTCATAGTGGGTGAATTCACGCTCTCAACGGCGCCGGTGGTGTAGTGGTAAGCGTGATTACCTCTCACCCCAGCAGGCCTGGGTTCAATCCCAGTCGGCGCCGCCGGGATGTTCTGAGGCATAACATCTCTGATCACGCCTTCCTTCGGATGGGAAGTAAAGCCGTTGGTCCCCGGTTCATGAGTTGATGGGTCGATAGGTAGGGTCCAGGTGTGGGAGCTGCCTTCCTGGCACGTCGGTAGCATTGGTGCTCTGCACGGAAAACAAGATCGACGGAAAAAACAAACCAAAGGAAAAAAAAAAAAAAAGAATTCACGCTCTGAAAGTCCTTCGTCAATGTGTAACGAATCGGGTAGATGAAAAAATTAATGCATATTCAAAATTTAAGCGGTGTATCGGTTTGGAACTCCATAGTTGAGAATGCCACTTACTGATCAAAAAATCATTTTTCAAAAAAGATGCGGTATTGCAAATGCGATTCAACATAAACTTACTTGCAATTTGAACGACTGGTCGATTGTTTCCGGTTCTGAACCCCAAAATCATCCCGTTTCCATTTTCATATGGATAGAGTGACGAGTTCCACAAAGCCCCGAAATTCCCTTTTGGGTGGACTGAGTGATTTTCGAATCAAAAATGAGTAGCCTCAAAATAGCGTTCAGACCTGAGTATTGCGGACTCACTCAAGGTGCTTGTCACTTGGGAGCCAGTGTGAACTGTCAAGCGGGAGCCAAACATTCAGAAGCAGCAAATGCAGTTACTGTTCTTATTTACCGTCAAGCATTGTAATCTCATAAAAATGATCTATACTTTTTCATAACACATTATTAATTTTAAGCTCAAAGATAAAAACCAACAGGCTCAGTGATGAAAGTATAAAAACCAGCATAATTTTTATGAGGCAGCTGAGTTTTCAATTACAGTAAAACAATCCTTTGCGAAACATGTATGTAAACAAACTTTGATAGAGTCATGGGGGCTCGAGCAATCGTGGCTCAGAGCTTTTGGCGGGAATCAACTGAGAAAGAGCAAACCAGTTTTAAACTTGAGAAAATTTTCAAGCAGTTTTCCATTGGCTTGCAAAATAATGCCTTGTCCAGACTACAGAGTTATAACATGTTATAGTACGTTCAGACTACAGAGCTATAATATGTTATAGCGCTATCTTAATGGTGGTTTCTGTGTTGCAATTATTTGACAACCGTTATAACATGTTATAACTCTCCAGTCTGGAGAGCGTTTTATAGCGCAATCTTGATGGTGGTTTCCATGTTGCAATTATTTGACAACCATTATTGTCGCATTTATGTTAAATTCTCATTTAATGACGGTCGAAACGCGCCGCTCATAAGCGCGCTGCAACCCCGCTCATAAGGATTATACACAGGTGTGTAACTAAGATAGTATTTTATGGCAGCGGCTTGATGAGCGAATCCTGGATAAAGAGCCGCCGTGTGTTAAATCAATGGGCGCAGTCGTACCAAAGATGAATACTAAGATGAAACTGTCGGAAGAAAAACTTTCTATTTTAGTGTCCTCTTTCACGGTCCCTTTCATCCAATGAATACCCCCCGTATTCAAGGTAATTTGGTGGTTTTGCTGCCCCCTCGGTAGAGATGAAATTTTGCGCTCATTTTTATCAAAACAATCACACCAAAATCAGAGATGTCCCATTTTTTAATTACTCGATTAACAACTAATCGATTATTTTTTGTTCGCTGTGCTGCCATTTTTCCACCAATGAGAGTGCAGCACATTTTGAAACGATCGGTAATGACCCTCTGGAGATGTTAATGCTTATATCGGCATGATATAACCGATTACAACTATTTTACTTTTCGGTTCGTTAATCGATTAATCGATTATTCGAATGAAAGTCGGCCATCCCTAGATGAATGTGAAACGTCATTTCAAATATAAGGACCGTACAGAAATAATGATACAATTTGAAAGAGGCCGGGGCTAATCACCCTGGGCATTGGCATAACCTTGAGGATTGCTTAACTGCAACCAGGTCCCAGGGCTTGTCTGTATCTTTACATTTTGAAAGATGCACACTAGTGATGCCAGATGTGATGTAGCGGACCAAAGTTTGTTTTGATTTAACTACTAGCCAAAATTAAATAATTATGTAGTTTAGAATTATAGTATAAAATATGAATTGTTTCTTTTAAATAGTTGAGTCTAATAGTTACAAAAATGTAAAAAAATAATTTTCATTATTTGGCTCAAAACTTTTGGAATGCTACATCACACAGATACTACCTTTGAATTTGGCTTGATCGAGTGGCGATTTTGTTTTCTCTTTTCTTTTATTTAGATCAATACGATGCAGTTTTGAAGAAAATAACGATATCAACTATATTCCTTCTCGGATGAAGACAGCGAAGATGATTTCCTTATGAGCGAATTTGAAGACGACGAGAGCGCAAACAAAACGACTGTCATTACTGTTAACACTATCATTGCAACTAATTCAATTAGGCATATTCAATTGACCTGCATCGGGTTATTATTTTGCATGTAATGATATGGGAAAAGGGGGGACTCACGATTCAGCATGGAGAGTGTATGGGAGCCGTTCTAGGGTTGGTTGGGGCATGTGGTTCATTTTAGACATTATAGTCTGACGTGAGAACCATGTTCCACTCAAGTTCTGGAATTTGGCCTTGAGACTTGAGATCTGGCCTTCATAAGACCCCCTTCTGTCTCGCAAAATCAAAATCAAAAAAAAAATCAAGTACAGCGTTTGATATTTTAGTAGGAATGCTGAATTTAGTCGCAGTAGAAATCAATCCTTTATTGAATTAGATTTATTTCTATGGATATGCACGTTTGGAAAGTATCATCACAAAGATTCTGCACTCGGTCTACAGCTTATGGGCGGGAAGCGTTGTTTTTGTTTTTTTTTTTTTTTTTTTT